TTAGCGAGGATTTTTCGTTCTCGTAACCTTACGATGTTTCTGTCAACGGTTTACGAGTGGAAGTTAATGGTTAAAGACTAATGTTGCGACTAATATTGTTTCTGACAACGGGCCCCCGGAGCAATAAAAAGCCCATATATCACTTCTTTTTTTTACATCAAAAATTAGTGCCGGCGGAGATATATAGTGCCGGGCGGAGATATATAGTGCCGGGCAGCAACAGCGAGTGCCGGGCACACCCACCCACCGCCGCCCACTGTGGGCAGAACCCTGGTATACAAGTATGTTAGAATACCAAAAAAATAATTTGATAAAAAAAGTTTGGCCTGCCTACCGTGTCCAATTTTTTTCAGCTTGTTAGTGGAAACAAACACCTTTTTTTAGGCCTTAATATTCTATGTATATACAGTTAAATTGGAATTTTCTGCATTTAATGTGAGAAAATTAAATGACATTACAATACCTTCTGAATCGCTCCAATATCTCTTTGATCTACATACATGTATAGGCTACAACCTGCAACTATAGCCATGCCACCATAAAGAAGGGCTTTTGGCCACGTGTTTACAGGCATCTGTAAAGTAAAAAGATATATTACTGTTAAAGATAATTTCCGGATTATTGTCGAGTGAACAGAATATTAATTAGCAAGATAGTACTGTGCCACAATAACAATACCACAATGATTCCTGAAAATTAAAGACATGTACATTCATCACAGTAATTACTGTATTGCTAAGACATAGAAGCTACAGCCAAGCGATTTCTGTAGTATTAATATGCAAAAATTACATTTATTCATCAAATGCACACATGTATGTGCACACACCCATGTACAGACACTAATACTTGAACAACCTTTAACTTGACTACCATTAAAACAGTTACACAAACATACATTCATTGTGTTATACATCGTAACATGTACAACATACATATATACAATACATTGAATAAATATGTTCTCTTAAAACACACATATAACACATATTACACACATATATTGCAAGTTGTGGTTTTATTAGGGTTAGGGTGATGATACGTGAGGATGTCGTAAATTATAACAAATAATTGACGATTTATACCTTACACGTGCCGTGTCTGAAAAAGCACGATTATGTGCAGTGCACCTACTCGTACTAAAGCTCTCTTCTTTAGCTTTACTCATTAAAAAGAAATAAATTAATCATTTGACATGTACCTGCTGAACACTGCAGCTTTAAGTACAAAATTACCACACGGTGCCACATATTTTAACTACCAGCAACATTTTTGTGATAATGATTCATTTTCAATATTTCAACAGTATGAAAATATCCATCTGAGAGCTATGAATTTGGGAATATTTAACAATATTTCTTATTGTTTTACGCTCTGTTTGCTTATTGTTTATGTAGGCTGGCTTGTGGTCTGATGTTTATGGTGATCATTTTGTATGGCTTGAGCTTGCAGTCTCGGGAGCACCTGTTTTCTACTTCTTTACTTATCTGCATATGTCCAGTGCTGATTATGTATGAACTTGGTTCCTAAAGGCCCAGTCACACATACACGACGCACGGCCCGCCCACTG